ATGTTTTTACTTCATATGACAACATATTTCATATATGGAAATGTAATTTATGAGCATACATATATTGCATTTGCATATGGGTTGGAATGACTGGATTTCACACACAAAAATTCACAGAGTAACAGTAAATGTGCACCCTTAGATGCTGCTGCTGATTTGCACTAGATTTACTCTAGGGGATCAATAAAGTATCTCTTAAGTAACTACGAACATACAGTGGCTAAGTAGTGCTGCACAAGAGCTTGAATATAAAATGTCAGCCAAACATTTATGAGACCATAATTGACAGCAGCGAGAGTGCATGCAACTTGGCATTTGCACATATTTGTGGCAGCAGCCTCAGACTGAACTATTATAGCAATTTGAGTACCCTTTGACTCTAATTAACTTGAGGACAAATAAAATAAAAGTGCACAGATTTGCAGAGAAATTGGCTCGGCTCTTCTGTTCAAGTCACAATTCATTCCAGTGAAACCCTTCAGATCAGCCAGAGATTAAGGAAAATGCCAGCTGTTAAAATGATTTTAATCTACTATTCTTTCTCTCTATCCATCCCATCTGCACACATTCTCCTATTCTGAATCCCAGTTGTGCCCTTGATGGCAAGGCCAAAGGTGCTCAGTGATTTCTAAACATGACAGATACAGGACACACTCAATTACCATTGGCTATCTCCGCAACTTGACAGCACAAAGCCACCATGGATACTCACAGAGAAACAAAACACTCTGGCAATTCCATTAGCATGCTGGGCGCTTGCCAGCAACTCTCTGCATTATGTTCCATGGTAGACAAATTGGCAGTCAAAATGGTGTTGTGAAGGGGGCTAATTGCTTGAGTGCAGTGTTAGCCTGTAATTCATGTGAGACTCGAAATGCACAGGGAGATGGGCTGACCCAACTGTCTGACGTGTCCTAAGATGCGGCGATGAATGTGATGCCAGAACACCTCTGCTGTTGTGATCTGACATTTCTTGTGAAGGAGAATGTTATTCATTAGCTTTTTGCTAATGAGCCAAAAGCTTAAAGACCCAGTCAAATCAAAAGTTTATTATCTTTGGATCATCTATGCACCTTATTTTGCAATGCGGAAGTAAGCTGTTTTCTGTGAATGTGCGAGACTTCCACATTTATTAGCTGCTATAGGTAAATACCTAATAAAATAGACTAAACGGAAAACTATTTGCGCTACAATCCAGTGTGTTTATGATTATGATAATATATCAAATACCAGTTTGCAACATCAAGCAGCATAACCGACTTTTTTTGTACAGCTAAAATAACTGGATGACACATGAAGCCTTGCCTTGTATATTCAAGTAACTAGGGTGACCATACGTCCTCTTTTTCCTGGACGGACGGGGATTTCTAAATTGCCTAAAATGTCTGTTTTTCCCATTAACATTATTCCCTCTCGAACACTGCGATTGGTTGATTGTTGTACAATGCCTGCACGCTGTTGTTCAAACTACTTTTTAGTCATTATCTTCAGCAAATATGAAAACCAGTCCAGGACATTTTCGCAAAAAAAAAGGGATTATGGTCACCCTAAAGTTATAAATGGATGGATATGCTAGTATTTTCCTAAACAAATCCATCATTAACAGATGTAAACATAAAAAAAAAATGTGCAGTCTTTTTGTTATAGGAAAATTTACACAATTCTGATAGCAATAGTAAATCGTGTTCCTGGCTACGACGTAGCACAATGGCTATTTATTAAAAAAAGGTCCCTTTTATATGAGCCCCCTGCTCAAACAGCATATAATACACAAAAACATATAAACAAACATTTACATAGGGTATATGCTAAGCTAGCAGGCTAATTAGTTAATGGTATGCTAAGCTAGTACACTGTGTGTAGCCTACTACACTGTGCAAAACATATGCTAACTTAAAAAAAAACACAGAGAGAATGAGAATGTTTTATTTCAGTCTAACTTCGTTATATTAACGTATTTTAAATCATATTTAAAATACATAATGGTCATCGTAATAAGACTTCAGACGGCATAGCTAGGCTACATCATGAAGAAGTTTTGAAGGATTTGTATGGGTAGACCAAATTCTTAATGACTTAAAGGCTCATTTTAGTTCATTTGTTAAAAGTATCAGTGCATTTGAATGGAATAAGTTCAGCTCAAGTTTAAGTTAATTTCAATGTAATAAACACAAAAAAGTATATGACCTATCCCCCACATGAAAAAGTTCAATATTTGAATATGTGATTTGAATATTGGAATGTACTGCAAACATTGTCAGAATAGGTACCATGGAGTGAATGTTTCTTTGGTTGGCGTAAACGGAGGCCATATTCTCTTAAGCCATAGAGACTAATGTATACCTTTTCCAAATCAATGAACAGACTGCCATTGCTCCAACACACTTTATCCCGTAAGTTGAAGTAATCAGTTTTCATCAGAGAGGTATAATTTACAACCACAAGAGGTCGATATACACTAGCAAGCGCTGCTGTCAGGGCCAACATACCCCCCGGGGCTTATTTTTCCCCAAAATGAATGTCACTTCTTCCAGCCAAGCAGCTTCACATTGCCATTTGTAGGTTAGTCCGAATAAATCATTCAACCCCCTCTTGCAAACATCCACAACAGTTCCTTTCAGATAAGAAGGTCAGGGAGCACATTCCAGGCCAAGGTTGACAGTATTGGAGTCTAAATTAAGAGTCTGCATGTGGTAGAATGCTGGTCAACAACAGCCTATGTATGAGCTTAAATGGCTCACATATTCATTCAGATAGTACACGGCTGAAGCCATACACATTTGCTATTATTTTAACCTTAAAGGGAAAAATAAATGATAAATATACATCTGTTTAAATATTCACAAGTTTATATCATGTGCATAGGTTTCTGACATTAAGTTGAAAAAAAAAAATCATAGAGAAATTTAATTAATAATAATAAAATTCAAACTGCATACAATGGCAACCCATGTAACACATCTCCACCAGTATGCTGTCTAGAATGGTGTGCAAGAATTGACTGAAAGCTGATCCCTTCATTTCGATTTTCTCTGGCAGAGAAGAGTCTCTCCAGATCAGGTTCACACACTGTGATCCATGGCATTGCTTTACACATACATTCTGCTTGCTTTGCTGTGTAAAATACTGGAAATGTCTGTATTACTTCTAGTTCTAGGGGTCAAAGAGGAACATTTTATTCCTGCTCAGATGGAAGCCCTCATGTAACAGTTCAGGTGTACCTTTGTTTACCAAACAAAATACTCAAAGCCACAATAGCGTATATGCCTGTATATTCATGTAAAAATATATTGGAGATATATATGCAAGATTACATATTTTATGCAAGATCAGATTATGATTATGCAACCATTACTCCAGTCTTCGGTGTCACATGATCCTTCAGAAATCATTGTAACATGCTATAACAATATACGTCTAGTGTGTGCATGATTACTAAGTCGAAATTCTGACTGACACACACACACACACACACACACACACATATATATATATATATATATATATATATATATATCCTAAGCACATTTTACCAATTCTAAGCCATATCAATCATAATAACTATGAATTTTGTATAAAAATATTTTATAAGTCATATATAATCGCTAACAAGGGCTAAAAGTTATAAACTCATTATTCAGGTCCATAAAACCTTCAAAAAATTTTTTTTTTTTTTTAAAGTCTAAAGAGTTCTGATGGTTTAATTCTTGGTTTAACACCTAATTCTTCATCTTAAGTCTGACCTTAACATTTTATCAATGTTTAAAACTTCTATCGTTCTATCTAAACTTTTTTTTTCCTCAGGATTTTTGGATGAATAGAATATTAATAATTACAGCATTTATTTGAAATATCATTTTTGTAAAATATTTAAAGATCTCTACTGACAGTTTTGATTTAAAAAAAAAATATCTTACTGACCCCAAATATTTGAAGGGTAGTGTACATTCATTCTGTAGTGAACTATGAATACTAGCATCACAATAGTTTGTCATTTTCTTTTCAACAAGGTGTTGCAGACAATACATGTTTTACTGTACACTACAGTATTTAGGAATTGGGGCAAATCTCTGATCCGTTGCAATATCAGGGTCCAACTGCTGGTGGCGCTGCAGACCTTAAACTCACTGGACAAACATGAATGCAACAATCCAGTATAATAAAAGCTAAAGCCTAAAAGTGCAAACGTGCCATATTCTTTCACAGCCAAAATAGCATTATGTGCAAGGGCAAGGACTGACAACCACTAATATCTGAGTTCCCATTATGACCCAACATCTATGATTCTGTAATCAAATCCGTATGATTATTGCATATCATACAATAAGCACAAAATGATAGTACCTGTACACAGATTTTGAAGCCAGTATTTGTTGCCAGTTATGATGTTGCTGGCTGTTGCTCTCTAGGTCATTATAGCAGCCCTCATAAGACAGAGACTATTTAGTCATTGGGTCATTACAGTGAACAGCGCTAAATAATCTCGGAGCGCAGAGCAGCGTCGTCAGAGGGGCTCTGGTTTTTGATTGCAATAGGAAAGCATTTGCTGCAGTCGCCATAATGATATCAAGCTCCTGCTAGAAAGCCCCCGCTCACTCCGGTTACGGACAAGGTTTAATCAATATTGTGTCCTTCATCCTGCATTCAGGGCCGACCTTGGCAGCCTTTTGTCTCCTAAACGAGGGCAAAGAGCATATAAGTGGATACAGAGAAAAAAAAATAAGGGCCCAAGCATTGATCCCACATGAAAATAAAACACTAGTGCATCCAATCAGCTCATTAGGAAGCTAATGAATCATCATATGTTTATCATTATTTTACCTTTGCCTAATGAAGTGTCACCGTGCCATGATCGTTTGTAAATTTATTAGAGCCTCCTAATGTAGGCAGAAAGGGGCAGACAACACCAGCACAAACAGATCAGGGTACAGTCGGGGTCTACCTATTGATTCATTTGAAAACAAAGAACATTATCATGCAATAGGGGGCTATAGTAGACCAAATGATGTGAAACAGTCAGCAGGTACATTTAAGCAGTGAATATGAAATATGCAGATAAAGGAGCCCTGAACAACCTCCAGACTTGAAAGTGCTAATCAGCAATTCCTTACGACTGAATTATCACCATTTAAATATTCATAGAAGCATCTCAGGAGCAGATAAATCATGAAAACACAAAAGCAAAATCTATTGTCGAAAAACAAATTTACTGCATCACTCTGCAGAACACCAAATTTTGTGTTACAAAACATGAAACAAACTTATTGAACATTATCATCAACTAACAAAGGATTATGAATATCGCCAGTAAACAATTTACTTATCTAATAATGAATAAAGAAACTAGTAAAATGGCTTCACATCTTCCTCTTCTGGGTGCTGATGTATAACACTAGAGGACAAAGAAAACAAAATTAACTTTGGTATACGCAAAAATTATTTTGAAAAAGTTATTTTGAAAAAGTTGAGAACATGCTCACATATAGCTTCCGAAACTACATTACTGTTAAAAAAAACACTGGCTCACAGGGTGCGAACTACGGGGGAGCTCGGCTCCCCTTAATAAGACATGGGCTCCCCTGAAAACATGATTTGTGAAAATTTGGGGGATCTCAAAAAAATATTGACAATGTGTTATTTTGATAGACTTTTTGTGGGTGGTTTTTTGTTGTTTCACCTATCAATTCGTGTCGATAAAGCATAATAGAGTAAATCCTGTATAGTGATTTATCCTATATAGTGCTTGCATAAAGTAGTGCATACACTTGTAGCTGTTATGTATCTTTGTAAGTCATTGTAAGCAAGCGCACGAACCCCCCTCCCCCCCATAAAAAAAACAAAACAAGTGGGCTCCCCCAAAGTCCAGGGTATAGTTCGAACACTGCTGGCTCAGTATGTAAAAAAAAAAAAAAAAAAACACTATGACAAACCACTCAGGAAAGCTCAGGTCTTTAAAAACAAACATCTATACATTACACACCGTTGTTTCCTCTGAGAAATGCATCTCCATACTTGTTCTTCAGCTGGCCATTGACATATTCCTCTGTCTGTTCCACAGCAATATTCATGTAGCCATCAAGGCAGGCCAGGACTCCTGAGGGCAAAACACACGTTAGACAATGTAACTTATGTGCCTTTTCAATACTTTTTTGCCAAAGATCAGGGGCGCAGGCAGAACTGGTGGTAGTGCGCCTTTTAGAAAATGTAACTTTCTCATCTTAGTGATATTTTGTATAGATTGCACATAAAACTAATTATTTGTACAATACAAATTGCACAATATTGAACAATAAAACAATTACGACAAAACAAGCATTGAAAAGAGCTATTTAAAAAAAATACTTATTTCAATTCACCCCCTCGACATTTTTCCTCCCTCTGAAGAACCTGTTTTCTTACTGCATATATGAGGAAGCCCAATTTTAAAGTGTGATTTTTAGATCTTTAAAATGTCATGTAAATTGAAACAACCTTATAACGTTACAGGAATATAAATCTCATTTAAGATGCTCTTCTGCTTTTACCTCTGTAATCAACACCAGAGTTCAGCTTCACCACCACTGGTCTCCCAATGATCTGCTTCAGGAAATCACTTGGTGTCTGCTTCCGGAGACTCATTTTTTACTGAAAATACAGAGATCATAAATAACTAACTAAATGAAGGTTATGAATAACTAACTAAAACAAAGATATAAGAAACTGTACACTGGCTGTATCGTTAGGTAAAATAAGTGTTACGGTAAGGAGAGCAGCGCCGTAAGATTTGTGTATCGCTCACCGACTAACGTATACCAAACACATTTTTTACAAATGAAACAGTAAGTCTATGTTTTAACCCGCTGTCCTCTGCAGTAGTAACGTTATAAGCTGTTCTGTTCGGACAGAACCGGTGTACTTGTAGCATGAGCTGCTCATTTAGCCTGTTAGCATTACAACCCAATGTAAAGCACAATCAATTTATTACACAAGTCACGGGATATAGTACTGCAGTTCATTTAACCCTCCGATAACGTCAAGTGCACTCGTTCATTTAAAGAAAATAAAGTAGTCGCTCGCCTCTATCGTTTTGCAACGTTTGCCGCACGTTTGGACTAACGTTAAGCGTCTGTGTGTTGACCAATGAACTGAAGCGCTTATTCTATTTCCATGCTGTTTACACCGCACAGCCAATCAGATGCGTCGATAAAAACCTAGCGTACGGAAGCCGCAAAGGTGCCATTATGTACTTTGATAAAGAATGCGGAGAGGGAAAATGAGCCAGAAAGACAAAGGTAATGAAGGAAAAGCTTCGCTTTTGTTTTATTAGGAAATTAGAATGATAGACAGATATAAGGATGGATGAGTGAGCTAATGATAGATAGACAGATAGATAGATAGATAGATAGATAGATAGATAGATAGATAGATAGACTGTAAAAATGAGGTGTAAAATAAAATATTTTGTGTAAAAAAAATATGCACAAATATTGTGTATACACTAAAAAAATATGTATATCTATTAGGAGTGTGCGATATATATCGTCTGCGATAATATCGTAATTGTTGTTTTAACGATGTGCGATTTGACATTATCGAGTATTTTGCAAAAACCATTCAAAACATCCCTACAGAGCGCACGCATACAGAATTTGACTAAAAAGATAATGGACACTTCTAGAAAAAATGGCTTTATAAAGGTAAAAATACCCATAAAATGTAAAAATCAGTTTAAACTTATTGGAAAAGATTAATTTCTAGCAGTATGAACTGACCACCACACAGAATATGAAGAATATTAAAAACATTATGAGTCAGCTGTCTTCGGCAGTCCTTAAGGTACCAGCACAATAACACACTCAGTAAAATATAGTCTAATTATCGTCATCGATAAAATCCCAGAAAATATCGAGATATTATTTTTTGTCAATATCGCACACCCCTAATATCTATATACACTGATAAAACATTTCTGCTTGATTTACTTAAAAAATATGATGATTTTTTTTGCACAATTTTATTACGTAGATCAAAGAAGACCAGTCTTTGTACAAACTACTTAATTTTTCTGTCTGTTGAAAGAAAATTTGCACATAAAGTACACTTAATTTTAGTATTTCTGTAGTCATTTTTTTGTGTGTGATCTACATAACTTTAAGAGTTCTAAATGTGTATTTTTGATTGAATCCAACTTAATTTTTTAATTTCCCTATTACAAACTTCAAGTGGGATCTACTTTGTTTTTCCAAATTTGTTAGTGTATTTTAAAGTTACATGTACTCAAATTTTCTAATTAGCAAGTATTTCTACTGAAAGTATATGTGCAATTAGTTCTTTTTTTTTTTTTTTGTTTTTTTTACAACTATTTACTATTTCACCACTGGTACTTTTCAATGGAATGCCAGTAGAATATATACTCATAAAATATGGAAATCTAGTTATTACATCACATAACGCTGACATTTTTGCCATTTCATAGTAAAAACGGCACAGAATATTTTCTATACAATTGTGTTTTTCGGTCCTTAACAGTAACCTACTCTTTAACCTAGACTTTAAAACAAGAAGCACACAAACATGATCCCAATGTGGAAATGAAGCAGATCTTCTTATAAAGCAACCATTTTTATTTTAAAATTTTAAAAACTTTTATTTTCTTTGTGTTTCTATTGAAATAAATTCACATTGTGCAAAATATTTTCCATGAGTCACGTTTCTCACTTCTTAACAGTCATCTTTTAAACCTACTTTTTTTTTTTTTTGCTAATGTGAAGAAGGTATATAGCTCTTTGCTCTCCCTCTGAACAGAAATCTGGGCGGGATTACGTGGTTGCTGTGGTAGTTTTGAGTGGTGTTGTGATTTAAGCCAAGAAACGTGTGTACTCATCAGAAATACATTTGTGAACCTTCATTTTTTTTACACAATATATTCATGTAACGATACAAACTTAACATTTTATTGTTAATATCACAGATTTAATTACGTAACATTTACATCCACTCAGATTTATTCTTTTCAGTGTACACTGTGTAGAGAGGTGTCACTAAAAACAGGAAAAAATATCTTGAGTAGCCAAAAGATAGACGGGGAAGAAAAAACCTGTCTTTTGTTCACAGGCAGAGGAGGGCATGCACCTGAGAGACAGAATCATAAAGCACTTCTGGCGCATCCAGACAGTTTGCTTGTTAGCAGGGCATTGCTAGCCCTGAGGAGGCTAGAGGTTAATTTGGTATCTGGTGCCGTGTTAAACTAAGGTCAGCGCTACAAGTCCTTAAGTCATAAACAAGTGTGGTTAAGAGCCGTGTACACACCTAGGCACAAGTTAATGAATATTCAATGAGTATTTTTTTCCCTTGTTGCCTGAGTTCATGTCCTAAAGGAGGGTTAAGAGGGAAAATATGATCTAATGTGTTTTTCTATCAAAGCAATCATTCATTTAAGAAAAAAGAAAATAAATAAATCGAACAAATCAACAGATATCTCAGTAGTGGCACACAATACCTGCATGTTCTGTGGTAAATAAATAAAGCATGATTTGAGCGATGTGACAAAGAGTTGACACACACACACACACACACACACACACACACACACACACACACACACACACGCACAGACACTTTGGCACATCTTGACTTTACCAGAAAAGTGTGAATGGCTTGGCTTGTTAAGTGATACTAAATAAAAACACAATGAAGCGGTACAGATAAGAAAGCATTTCATGAGCTTTTTTCTTCACAGTTTTTCCTGTTGTTTGACAAAGGAAGAAGAATGCTTCTGTCAAACTCTATATCACAAAAGAAGACATTTTAACCTTACCGACCTGTCCTTCAAAAGTTTTTGGCTAAATATTTTGTACGTGTCGTTGACGTGAATGTGCATTAATTGTATAGCGCCGACTGGCTAGGGACAAAAAATCTTTCAGGTTTCCTCAACGCAGATAATGTACTCTCACCACGAGCCTGGGAATAACCCCACAGCTACTCCCAAAACAGTTACTTGTTGGTAATAGCTGCCCAGTGATGCCAGATGGGACTGTTTTCACCCTGCCTTCAAGACGCTGCTGAGCTCAGATGGACAGTGGCACAGTTGATTTGCTGGTACAACCCGCCTCACCTTTCTAAGCCCTCCAAAGACCTGAGAGGGAGTAGAAGAAAAATGAAAAGATTACAGAGGCAGCTTCAACAGAGTTGGGGGGTGGGTCAGGCTGAGGGGTGTCAGATGCGAGGGGAGGGGGGATCCCTCGGTTGCCGCAGGCTGTCTCGAGGAAGAGGACGGAGGGGTGAGGAGAGGAGAGTCTAGACTAGGCTGACCTTTGCGGGCCAGGGCTTTCTCTACGGAGTCAAGTTGGATATGGAGGGGGGATAATGGAAAAACCTCAAGGGAGTTTTCAAATGAAATCCAGATTGGCTGTCGGCATGTAGTTTTTCTCCTCTCCTTCCCACTCCCTAATCCCTGCACTGCATGGGGGTAATAGTGTGGAAATGATGGGGGGAGTGTCGCCTTGATCAAAAATGAGCAGGGGAACCTTGCTCACCTTTTCTAACACCCAGATTCATGCCCACTATATATATCTGTGCATGCAGCCACTGCAGGCCAGGTTATCCTATGCGATTCCAGGCACTGGCTGCAGCCTCTAGACCTTTGTCAAATACATAGCTGAAATTATTTAGGAGAGCCGCCTTATATTCACATTCTTCTATACAATACTTGAAATGAGCTGAAGCGAATGTATGAGATTTAAGAATTTGTTAGATGTATTTGCTCTGACATTGGTTCAATCCTATCATCTTTCTAGAAAAAAAAAATATCTGCAGTCCTTCTGAAGAGAGAATCTCACAACATTTGAGATATAAAGAAAAAAGTCATTTTTGATTTAAATTTTTTAATATTTGGGAAATGTGTCATTTAGAGTCCTCAAGTGTTCACATTGAACTATTAGCAATGTCTGCCTGTGCAGTGGAGTATAAGTGCTAATTGCTCATTAAAGCTAATGAGACTCATCTTGATTCTCTGTGAGCTCCGCCATTTTGAGTGTGGTAAATATACAGTGCCTGGCAAAAACCAGTGTTCTCATGTTATTGAATTACATGTTCTACACTGATATGTTATTGAATTACATGTTCTACACTGATATTTTATTGCTCTTAAAGGAATACTCCACCCAAAAATTAAATTTCTCTCATCAGTTGTGTACCAAATGATGCACTATACACAGTGCACTTATTCTATTCACTATGTACTTAACCGTCTAGTGTATGAATTATATAAGGTTATTTTGTCATCCAACACTAGAGTCCGACAGCCCCTCTCATTCTGCTATGTAATTAAAGCTGTGAAAGTTGAGTGCATAAGGTGTCCAACATTCTACTCTTCATTTTTTTGGTTATTTAAGTGCATCATCTGGGCATTTGAAATGCACTTTTTCTTTTATGAATTTTCAGTGTGAGCACACTAATCACACGATTTATAAAAAAAAAAATGGCATAGAATAGTGCATAAGCATGTGAATTGGGACGCACCTATCATCATTTAATCACCCTCATGCTGTCCCAGATGTATATGACTTCCTTTCTTCTATGGAACACAAACAGAGATTTTTAGAAAAATAATCCATCTCTGTGAGTCCATATAATGCAATGTGGATGGGTCCCTCAAAATTTAACACTTCAAAAACCACGCAAAATGAACACAATGGTAATCAACACAACCCCAGTTTATGAGTAATTGTCTTCTGAAGTGAAATGATAGGTGTGTGAGAGAAAAATACTAATATTTGAAACTTTTGAAATTATAAACCATGGCTTCTGGCCAACTGTCAAACACAGGTTCATGAGTTCACTCTTAAAATGGTTATTATTTTTCTAAAGATCTGTTTGTCTTCCACAGAAGAAAGAAAGCCCTGTATACAGTAGCTGGGATGGCATGATGATGTGTAAATGATGAGAGAATTTTCATTTTTGGATTGAGTATCCCTTTAATATAGATGACACGTGCACCTTTACTCCCTTTTTGTTTTTTTTTTCTTTTTAGTTGTGTGAAAACTTGTGTGGTTTGTAGCTTTTGGATAATTAAACCAGCCGATACTGGAACATTGGATTTTTTTTTTTCTGTATGCCTTTCATAATTTATGCATTTGTTTGACTTTATAAATTCCATAGCTGTCATTCAGTATCACAACCTAAAAAAATGATGCAATAACATTTTTACTGTCTATTGCAAAATGTGACTCTGGTAAATGTTGCAATGTGACAAATGAATATTTATGCAAACAGTATATTTAATTTTTTAGTTTTTAGTTTTTATAATAAACCAGAGCACATTTCATACTTGGAAGCTTAATTTTGTTGTGTTATGTAATTCTATACATTGAGATGCACTGTATATCTAGGCTATGAAATGGTAACACGTTACTTCTAAACTCCTGCTGAACCGTCTGTGAGGGCAGTGTGTATTCATTTGTGTGCATGTTTGAGGAAGAGGGAAAGAAAGTATTTTCATGTTTGAGACTGATGCCTAGCAGTGGTTTAACACATTCAGAACACTACATACGCCCACCTTCAGCACCCAACTCCTCAACCGACCATAGAACTAACCCTTCACAACCCACCCAAAAAGCATGGCTCCATTGGGAGAGTGGGACCAAAGCCAGGTAACCCATCCAGGATATCCCAGGCAAGGTAACAAACACAAACACGCTTGGATATAAACTGAGCAGTGCCTGATGCTTGACATGTCATTTATATTATCCATATAGTTTATGTTTTTATTGTCTTTGTTATGTTTAATGACATAAGTCAGTGGTTCTCAAACCTGGAGTACCCCCAGCCCTGCACATTTTGTATGTTGCCCTCATCTATCACACCTGATTCAACTCATCAGCTCATTAGTGGAGACTGCAAGACCTGAAGAGGGTGTGTCAGATATAGGGAGACATACAAAATGTGCAGTGCTGGGGGTACTTCATGGAGAGGTTTGAGAACCACTGAATAAGTCATACTCACCCAGTTTTTTTTTTTTTGGACCAGGTTTCCCTGTTGCTTGAGATCTTTTTTCTAAAAGGCCATGCTGGGTCAGTGTGTGAGTGTATCTTTGGTTTGATTGCACGTATCATTACAGTGATGTAGGGAGAAATGTTTGCGACTGAAGGACAGAGGAGCTGAGTATATACAAAAGGAACACTTCACATCCATAAATATGCATCGTGACATTTGGAACAAAGCCCCCTCATTCTACTTTCATGATGAGTTCAGCTAGCATCCTGTAACATATTGCCCATACAGTTTCACAGGCAGTCTTGCCAGTTCATCAGGTTTGCTCTTAGCTAAAAAAGGGGGTTGTTGTTTAAAAAAAAAGAAAAAAAGATGGAAGCTCTTTCTTAAAGGTACTGTACTTCATAGAAAAAGGATTGCCAAATTTGCGAAGCAGAGAACAATGAGTTGGTGTATTTATAGGAATAGTTCACCCCAAAATGAAAACTCATCATTTAGTCATCATTTATTAAACCTCATGTCATTCCAAATCAGGGTTAATATTGGTTAAGTTAAATAAATAATAAAAAATAAAAAAATAATACAAACTACACAAACACAAAACATAATTATTAAAAATTTACCAAAATTAAAATAACTAAAAATATATAAAAATAAAAGCTAAACTGTATATCAATAATACAAAAAATAACACTGTATGGTTTTCTTGATTCAGTGGAAGCCAAAAGAAGATGTTTTGAAGGAAAACAAAAACAAATATGTATACAAATACATACAAACATTATATATACCCATGATACAATGAAAGTCAGTGGAGCCCAGTGTTGTTTTGGACCCCACTGACTCACTGTATTGGCAGAAACAGTTCAAACTTTCTTTAAAATATCTTCATTTGTGTTTCACAGAAAAAAGAAGGTAGAACAGGTTTAAAATGACACTAGGCATGACATGATTTGTGGGTGAACTATCCCTTTAAGAGATGGAATTGTGATAGTAATATGTGAATGCTAGCTTCTTGTGGCATTTTTTAAACAATTATTACTAGCATTAGGCTCTGAGAAGAAAGACAAATCTCTGCTTTTATAGCCGTGAGTCTAACATAGCCATGGTATGCCGGTTTCTCCTTTCTAAACACCTCAGTGGTTGTTCTAAAAAAGAGATAAAACTGCCAGGAAGCTAGCCTTTCAAATCCTACACTCTCTCCTCGGGTGAGGATCTCTTCTCTCTGTCTCTCTCTCTCTATCTCTCCTTCTCATATAAACACAACCACACACACATACACAAACTCCCACTCTGCCTTTTGAACACTAGTGTTCCCTACCACAGAGGAGTTGTGACTCAGAGGCAGGCAAACAGTGGTCTTCGCTAGCTGAATATTCATCGGAATGGGAAGACATGTTGTGCTTGATCCTGAATTATGTCACATAGCGATGTATCCAACAAGGTGACATGGACACGTATATTGAAGAGAAATGCTTCAGGAAGTAACAGAAGAAATCAGCTCAGCACAGTGTCTGACATTAATTTCTTTATTCTCTTCACAGGAATGGCATTTTACAGAACATTCCTGAGGCAAGTCTGATACCTCAATAAATCTGCCCCAGTCTCTCCCTCTCTCTCCCTTAGCTTGTCTCAGTGGAATGTCATCTGGCAAGTGCCCAGAAATTGAGACTTAGCCTTTCAGAACGTGCCAGTCTCACCCAAGCTTCAGAAGTGGGCAAGCACAGAAGCAGCAGTCCCCTTATCAAAGCGTTTGACCAGCGGGGCTCATGGCTCACTGAACCACTGATCACCAAATCCTCTGACCTGCCGTTAACCCGCCGTACTCAGAGCGACAGTGACAGAAGAGTCTGTCATGGTGAAGACCTACAGAGAGACCACAGAGATGATATGATGTTGCATCGTGCATCATCATTTACATGAGGGTACATGTGAACAAATGTCCCTACAATACCACATTCCATAGGAAAAATTGTTTTGATAACACTGAACATGACGTTTCTGGACATATTCTGGTATAGTTCACCTAAAAATTCTGTCATTATTTATTTTACATCCTTGTGTCACATCAAACCTGGTCTTTTTCCTGTTTCCTGTTCTTTTTTGTGACAAATTGCACTAACAAAAACACAGTTAATACTTTCAAAAGGTTAAAAAAGCACCATGAAGTCTTCATAAAAGTGAACTGTACATTTTATTCCAAATCTTCTGAAACAGTAGGATTACTTTGTGTGAAAACAGACCTAAACTAATAGCTTTTCACTGACAAATTGATCGCTTTTCACTAATAATATTTTTCACTGATGATACTCTCAGTGGCATGTTAATGATGGATAGTAGCAGTTTGATTTGAATGGGAATACTTTTTAAATGAATTGGTTGATTTTGTTGAATGATTCTGTCTGAATGATTCATTCATAAATTAGATTGATGCATTTATTAAGTAATATGAACTTTAATGATACTTTAACATGTGTCCTTTTTGAAGCTTGAAACTCTCAGTTCTCATTTGTTGTAATTATTCTAATGGAAATCAGAGCAATTCTTCAAAATTTCTCCATTCCTGTTCCACAGAAAATTGAATGCCAAAAAGGTTTGAAATGTAATGTCATTTTCATTTTTGTGTGAACTATTCCTTTAAATCTCGATTTATACTATTTATTATCTATAGTATAGTGTGTCCATCTGCTGATGCAATATTTGTCCTGCTTGGTGGTATATCATGTGTATTCCCTCATGTTTTCTGGTTCGTTTTCATGCCTAGCTCATTTTCATGGTTCAGATGGTATTAATTTCAAATCCAGCACAACCAAATCTAAATTAAGAACTTCATGTTTATGCTGTTCAGCTGGCCATCTTTGATACCACATAAGCCAAGAGGAGCTGCCAGCACTTGGTTTTGTTGGTTTAATATTTTAATGTGTTTAATTATGACAGGATAGGCTCGATAACCTTCTGTGATGTTCAGGCAATTGTCAGCAAATTAATGAGATTACATGACAAGCACTGAATGACAGCACAACCCAGTGCTCAGTCTTCCCTCCACTTATCTGATGGTAGCCTAGCAACAGATCCCTGACCTGGCATTGACCTCCACCTGATAAGGTCAGCACCTGAAGTGTCTCTCATTGGTGGGCCCTATGAAGAGGAGGAGGAGCCTAGAAGAGAGTGAGAGAAAAGGAAAGAAACAAAGGGAAATGGAGAGAGGGCAGAAATCCCATCAGAGACAAAGCCATAGCCACACAAAAGCGCTGAGGGCTCGTGTTACAGTGTGTGGCTCAAAAGGGAACTGTAATCACCATAGACCACTGTATGTCCCATATGCAAAACAAGAACTGTCTCCGACATATATAAAAGTGTTGAAGAAAAAATAAGCCTATAATTCTAACACAGCATTGATAACATTGCAATGCATTACTAAAACACTGCACATTGGGTTGTTTGATAGAATGTCATGCCAGCGACAAGGATAAGAGTGCGTGTTAAAGTTGCTCTTTAAACGCCGAAACTACATATCCCTCCATGCAACGCTTTGTTTGTTAGGTTCTAAAAGGCAGAATTTATGAATGACGGTCGTTCCCGTCCAATTCCAAATACTATTAATTTTATGTAATTTAAGCAGCACACGCCCTGTAAAGCCAAAGGGATGCAAGGATAGCAAGTGCTAAAATAATTATAATCTGTAGAGAGCCTGCATTGTTCTGAGATTGTTCCCTGCTTCTTAATCATAGATGTGAATCTACAGCTGAGAGGGTTTCCAGCATCCAATAATTCATTCAGAATGTATAAAAATAACAAGATTGATTAAAATTAATAGAAACAGAAATTTTGTAATGACTGAAATAAGTGATAGGAACTGAAGTGAGAACTGAACATAAACAGTTGACAATCATTAAACTAAAATTCAACATAAAGTACAATAATGTTCTCATTGTGAACGATTATGGTATTATAAAAATTCACCACGCCCTTTTATAACTCCTACATCATTTTCTCACTATCTATGTTTCCATCCACCTATTTTTATGCGCGTTTTGGATTGTCGCATAAAAAAACGCTGGATGGAAACGCCAATGCGCATAAATTCTAAAAATGTGCATAAAAAACCTATGTGCACAACTGAGTAGGATAAACTTTTTATCCGATAAGAAAAAATGTGCATAAACTACGATGGAAACACATTTACCGAATAAATTCCACCATGCGCATGTAAAAGTCATGTGACTTTGCGCTATGAGACGGGATAAATTGCCTAACCAGCGGACCGATCTGTTCACAGCATCTATAGGGCCTTTTGCACCGCTTTAGTTCCAGAACTAAATGGACAGTACTAAAGTACTGGGACGATTTTGCGTGAACTATTTCCCAGTACTATTTAAAGGGTTGCATTCGCACCGACAGTGTGTACTAGGAACCGGTCGACAGCGACGTCATTTGTGCGCGGCGTTCAACAACAGAAACAAAGAAAAACAACATTAACAACAAGAGGATGGAGGACGCTGTGATCGGAGCTGTGTTTTTGTTGTGTCTCGTGGGTTTCACAATAATGGACATGGAATGTCGACGTATACGTAAAGCAATTGAAAGAACGGAAAGGAGGACTAAGAATCTCCAATGACAACTGGCAGTGCTACATTTGCTACAAGTGTCTGCACTTCAGTGTCCGTCCATCTATCGCTGTTCTCCATACTTGCGAAATAAGTTGACACAATGTTTACAGTATGTTTACACGGCGTTTTAAATCATGGCGGGTGACGGTGTTTTCGTACGCGTTTGGCCAATCAGTGTCTACTTACGTCACGATTAGTACCAGTTGTGCTGGTTAGACCCCGCTCCGGAGTAGGAGCTAATTTGGTTCTCGAAAAAGGCAGTCCGGTACTAAAATCGCTCCCATTTCCGGCGGTGCGAAAACGCCAAAAAGTGGGTAGTTCCACAATTAGTTCTTGTACTATGAAAAGGTTCCTGCGGTGCGAAAGGCCCTAATATGTTGTTTTGGTCGTTCTAAAATGCCTGAGGAAAGTCTGTCATCAAAGTTTTTCTGTATAATTACTGTCTTACATGACTGCGTTCCCAAACAGCAGGCATCCACCTCTAAAAGCAATGACCGCATTTATTGTGTTACTTCTGCTCTCTCTGAAGCGCAAGTAATTTATTAGGCTACATATGAAAATTATTATATTGAGTGGCTTCTCATAGTTTTCTTAGAGATATTTAGTGCCAGTTTATCAGGAAGTGACAATTTTGTTCTCTTTGACTCGTTGGATGGAAACGGTGCTTTATCTGCAAATGTTTTATGCGATATTCCAGTTTTGTGCATAAGTTAAATTCGCATCTTTGGATGGAAACATAGCTACTGATGTTTCACTCAGAAATATATCACATTACAAAAGTAAAATGGGTTGTAAACCAGTGGTGTGTGGAAAAATACAAAACAGATGTAGATAAGTATGTCCATTTTCCTGCTTTATTTTGCAGATGAAAATCATTCTCTGATCCTTCTTCATAAGGGTTCGGTTTCATTCCTCCTGACCGCCAGAGGCGGTGCTTAAGCACTAGTGGATTAGCGCAGCGCCAGCTCAATAGGTCGAGATAATATACCAAAAAAGTCACGTGGTGAAGTAGGCTGAGCCTCGAGTATAATAGACACATTAGCTCAGCCTTCGGTCTCTTTCGCTTTCTTGCTTGTCTGTGATAGGTCGTTTTTCAATCGATTTTTGCGCTGTGACAGTGTGCTCTTAGGAGTTTTTTGGATTGGATTGTCGACTGAATTGGTGAGTGTTTTTGCTTTACTGGATATATTGTTGATATATCGATAACACTTGGTGCTTCTCGGTACTATCCGGTGGCTAGTGTTACCGATCAATTTACTGACGGTTCTCGCAAAGAGTTTTATTGTTCTCACCACGCTTATACGTTGGCGGTTCCCCGCCAACCTTATCTCTAAATAAGGATTTTGTGAAACACCAAATGCTTCTCGGGTCTATCCGGTGGCTAGTGTTTTTTCAATGCTGATAGATCGATTATTCACTGCTATTTTCCAGGCAGTTTCTGATATGTTGTGCTTCTCAGTGCAATCCGACGGCCAGTTGTCAAGTGTGTATTTTTTGTATCTCGTTGCTTTTCCCTGTTATTGCGGTGGCCATGGCTCACGGTTCTATTGCTACTGGATATGCAATAACATGTAAACTGTGGCCTAATACTCTTCTACCTGACGACGGCCACAATGTTTGTCCGTCCTGTTTGGTAATACAGCATTTGAGAGAGGCTTTCACGGACCCATATCTGCACTGTAGCCTTTTACCCATGTCAGAGAGACGGCTCTGTCTTGCCGAGTTGGACCCCAAGCATGACTTGGAGGAACGGAGCCGCAACCCGTCACACGGAATCGAAAACGCGGTGCATATGCAGCGGCCGGTGCTCCCCTATCTAAGCAGGCAACATCAAGGAACGAGCAAGTAGATAAAGCTTCTCTTTCTAAGACAGTTGCTGTTCTTTCGTCTGAGATGTCAGAGATAAAACACCTTCTTCAGACGCTCCAGCCTGTTATGCCTGCTTCACCTGGAGTTATCACACAGGCAGATGAAGAGGGTTCTAAAAGAATGGATGACGAACCTTTCAGTTCCTCTTCTCTATCTCGCACTGACTTTGATGTGCTCTCTACAAGTGCATCTGACTCGCTTTTTCAGGATAATTTCAATGCGGTGAATGTTGCTGCGCAATCTTCCCCCCAGGAGAATACAGTTTTTCAGATGCAGGGGGTTCTAATGGTGATTCGATTCACTCGGGACTAACTCCATCCTCCGTGGATGATACCTTAACTGTGCTCCAGATGGCGGTTGCTCGTTTAAGGCTGGATAACTCGCCAGTGCAGCCAGCCCAGTCCAATGTCTTTTTTAGGCGGCCTTCAGCTGGGTCTAACTTTGCTATGCCAGCATGCAAGGATTTCGTTGCAGAATTTTCAAACTCCCTAATAGGGTCTAGTACACCTAAACGTCGGTCAAAGACCACCTGTACACTGGCATCTATGGTGGATGCAGATAGCATTGGGGTTGGACGTGCTCCAGAAATAGAGCAACCTGTCGCTGCCCTTGTGGTGTCACCTGATGAGGCCCTGCGAGGCAATGTGCGTTGCCCCAGTACTCAGTGCGGTCGCACAGACTCATTACTCAAAAAGGCATATGAGTCTACCGCGTATATAACCAGTGCGGAGAACACCATATGTCAATTACTCCTTGCCACAACTAGTACACTTGAATCGGCAAATGTGGACCCCTCGGTTTCACAATTCCTTCAAACTGCGCTCCTGGCTATGGGCCACGTCACCAGTGAACTGGGTTGTCTTACAGCCAAAGCTTCTGACAGCTCGCCGACAAGTGTGGCTCGCCCAGGCAAAACTGCCAGAGGATTGTAAAAAGATACTACGAGACCTCCCAATTATTCCTGGTCACCTGTTTGGACCCAATGTCCCAGAGCTTCTGGAAAAGAGGTTAAAATTGTCTGAGGCCACTCGTTAGTTGACTCAGGCTCAGCGCACTCCTGTTTTTAAGGTGCCGGACATTCAGTCTCGACATCGTTTTGCAACACCAGAGCAACAATTCCATCAGCGTCCTACATCACAGCCTCAGGGGTTACAGAGGCCCTGTGCTACCAAGGACACTCGTTTATGCGAGTGGAGGTTTTCGACTTCATCAGCGGCAGTCGCCAGAGGGTCCACGTCAGCACCCCCTACTGCCGTTAAAAGTCGCACCCACAAAGCTTGAAGGCACTGGGCCGGTGGTCGATCATTTTTCAAGTCTACAACTGCAGTACTGGAGGGAGATGACAGTAGATCCATGGGTTTGGACTACAATGAGCAGGGGGTATACTCTGCAGTTTCAACGCCAGCCCCCAAAATTTTCAAGGATTGTCCCTACAGTAATAGGGGATCCAGTTTGTTCAGAAGCTCTCTCTCAAGAAATTTGTTCGCTGCTAGAGAAGGGAGCCATAGAAAGAGTTCCTTTTGAAAGTGGGGAACTCTTTCTATGGCTCCCTTCAAATTTCTTGCCAGTTCTGTCAGGCCGTCATGTCCTCATTCGGTCTGACAACACCTCAACAGTTTTTCACCTGAACCATCAATGTGGAACAAAGTCCCTCAAGTCTCTGCATCTTACCCACAAGA